AATGCAGCCTCAGAAGGAAACTGGAGGGAGTTGTCTGCCTTCTAAATCATTGAGAAACTGGTGAAAGCTATGTATTCCTGCCCCCAGAAAAATACCCATATTCATAAACGATATTTTAACCTAATTATTTCACAGGGTTCAGGGACCAAGGTTAAAGACCTCTGGTGTAAAGCCAGTAGTGTGGTCATGTGTTAGTGTATCTCCTGGTGTGAAGATTACCCAATGATTATCTTCAATATTCCTTAACCAATAACATTAAATTTTAGGATGGTTAGGGTACTGAGCTTATTGTAAAATCAGAGGCCATTTCCAGGAAATAAAAGGTAGGAGCTGATAGTCTGCTCATTGTGGTAGGGTTAAGACTTCAAGTTAGGAGTCTGAAGTTAAGAAAAAGTACACCATGGGATGGGATGGGACGGAGAGAAACTGGGTGAGTCTGGAATGATTGTGTTCTGAGTAAGGTCTCCAAGAGTTGTGGTGTCTCAGACCTGCTAGTAGGAGCATGTTTTCATGTGTCTTTCTGGGCATAGCAGCCTATGAGGTTTTAAATTCTTTATCTTCCTAATCTTCAGGCTCTAATCAATCGTGGGGTTAACCTGGATCCCCTGGGCAAGTGGTCAAAGACTGGACTAGTGGTATATGATTCTTCGGTGCCCATTGGTAAGTCCCCTGTTCATTAGCCCTCCTGCCCTGGCCCCTGTCCCAGCATGTCACAGGTGGGGCCTCCTCCACAGGTGCTACTCCCGAGTACCTGGCTGGGCACTACATGCTGCAGGGAGCCTCCAGCATGCTGCCTGTCATGGCCTTGGCACCCCAGGAACATGAGCGGATCCTGGACATGTGTTGTGCTCCTGGAGGGAAGACCAGCTACATAGGTATGAGAAGGGCAGGTGGGGGTGGGGGTTCATCTGGCTCACCGCTTTTGAGAGTGGAGGGGTTGGTGCAGCTAGTGAAGTGGTGAGGAGCACGTGCTTTGGAATCTACTGGGTTCAGATCCCACGTGTGCCACTTTTTACCCATATAACCTTGGGCAAGCCCCTGATCCTCTTTTGTCATCTGTAAAATGGGGTAGTAATTGTTTGGGTTGTGAGGATTGAAGTAATACATTTAAAAGTCCTTGGCGTAGTGCTCCGAGCCCTGGTGGTGCAGCGGTAGGTATGGCTACTAACCAAAAGGTCAGTTCGAATCCACCAGCCGCTCCTTGGAAACACTGTGAGGTAGTTGTACTCTGACTTATAAGGTCGCTGTGAGTCGGAATTGACTCAAGGGCAATGGGTTTTGGGTTTTTTGGGTGTAGTGCTCAGCACGTGATAAGTAATCATAACCATTTTATTAAGCTATTGTTGCTTAAAAGAAGTAATTTAGTCTACGGAAAGAAAGAAAGAAGCTCACTAAAAATGGTAAAAGCACATCAGCAGGCTTGCTTATCACTGGGGGGCCAGTGCGATCTGTGTAGACGTGTGTAGTAGGCAGTGAGGAGTGGGGCTTATTGGAAGTGAAGTTTTGCTTTGAAGTGATCAGACTTCACCTATGGACTCCTGGGCTGGAGGGTGGGTAGCAAGTGTGGAGGCAGACGAGCTGACTGGTCAGTACTGTGGCCCTCCCTTCCTCCCTGCAGCCCAGCTGATGAAGAACACAGGTGTGATCCTTGCCAATGATGCCAATGCTGAGCGGCTCAAGAGCGTGGTGGGCAACCTGCATCGGTTGGGAGTCACCAACACCATCATCAGCCACTACGATGGGCGCCAGTTCCCTAAGGTGGGATTTGGGACTGCCCCTCTGTGTTTCCTTCCTGTGACTTTTTCACTTTACCTGCCTCTGGGAAATGAATGATGCTGTGCAGGTTGCAGAAAACATCTGATTAACCTACACTTTTCCCCAGGTGGTGGGGGGCTTTGACCGAGTACTACTGGATGCCCCCTGCAGTGGCACTGGGGTCATCTCCAAGGACCCAGCTGTGAAGACTAACAAGGTGAGGAGTCAGGCAGTGGGACTAGCCTTGCAGAGCAAGAGTGTGAGGTAGAGGAGCGCTGTGAGCAGTCAGTAGTTCATCCCTCTCCTCCTGAGGGTGCCTTTTGAATTTCTGAAACCCCTGGGTCTCTCCTTCGCACAGGATGAGAAGGACATCCAGCGCTGCGCTCACCTTCAGAAGGAGTTACTCCTGAGTGCTATTGACTCTGTCAATGCCACCTCCAAGACAGGAGGCTACCTCGTCTACTGCACCTGTTCTATCATGGTGAGGCCTCTGCTGTGGGAGGGCAGGGCTGGAGGCTGTCTGCCCGTTAGAGCTCCCTTCAGCTCTGGCTGTGGTTCCCTTCTTTCCATCTGTGTCTCTCCCCGCCATATCCAGGTGGAAGAGAATGAGTGGGTGGTAGACTACGCTCTGAAAAAGAGGAATGTGCGCCTGGTGCCCACGGGTCTAGACTTCGGCCAGGAAGGTTTTACCCGTTTTCGAGAAAGGCGTTTCCACCCCACTCTGCGTTCCACCCGCCGCTTCTATCCTCATACCCACAATATGGATGGTTTCTTTATTGCCAAGTTCAAGAAGTTCTCCAATTCTATCCCCCAGTCCCAGACAGGTAAGTGATCTTTCCACCTTTCATCACTACCTTTGTATGCTTGGATGAAAGATCCCTTTCATCCCAGTTACAATTGTCCCTGAGCCCTGGGACCCCATTGGCGTATATTAAAGTGTTCACAATGGATAGGGGCCTTTTGTCCTGCCAAGTGGCTGCAGTTGTTCAGCATAAAATACGTTCCAAATGAGGGCTGTGGTTTCTTTTCCTTCGTGGCCCAGTGTTGATTTAGTGGTGGTGTCCTCTGCTGGGCCAGCATTCTTTGCACCGGGTTGGCATAGGGCTCCTCGGAGCTCTCAGCAGTCCTCAGAGCCCTTCACACTAATTGCAGATCATTTTCTCAGCCATCTTGAGGAGTTTGGCCCGGATCTCCAGGGGAAGGGTGGGGTTTTTTGAAACAGGCTTAAGAGCTCTGCATGCTGGGATATATAACCCTGGGTTTAGTTGGAGGAGGGAGGGGAGAGCTTCTGAATACAAACTGCATGATTTATTGAGTTGATTTTTTTTTCATATTAAATAATGCTCTTTACAAAAGTCACATCTGAATGTAAACAGAGAATAAAAATCTTAAGAAATAATAGCAAAATTTGCTGTAATTCAAAAGTACATATTTAGTATGTCAGTACTCATTTATGTCTTATTAGTTTGTTTCCAGTTGCTGTGGGTGTGCCTTCTTATTTTTCTGCATCTCATCAAATTTCATGTGGAAAAAAAAAATTGCCTTCCTTGATTAAAAAAGCAAATAAAGCTCAGTCTGTGCTTTAGATTTAGTCACCTCCCTGGTTAGTGTCTTGTTACCCGCTGTCCTCAAGGGGGCGTAGCTTCCTTTTGACACCTTTTTGCCTGAGGGTGAGTAATGATCCCTTCTCTTAATGCAAGGTTGGTCTGTTCAAATAGGACTTGAATAAAGGCCAGGTGATACTAAGTGATAGGAATCTAGGTGATCTGCTCTTAGGTGCTGTCCTAATTACGTAGGATACTTGGTCAAGAGGCAATAACCAGGAAGTTCCTATATTTTAATACCTCTGCTTGTCTCCACTAATGAGGAAGACCGTTTAGTGATAAGGCCCATTTTTTCATACCATCTGTTTAATTTTAACTCCAGGAGATTCTGCAACAGTCACCCCTACAAACCCAGATTTACCTGACCTGAAGGGTCAGGTCGCTCCCAAGCCTGAGAACAGCAGCCAGCCAACCAAGAAAGCCAAAGGGGCTGGGAAGGCAAAGCAGAAGTTGCAGAAACAAAAACATCTCAAGAAGGCCTCCTTCCAGAAGCAGAATGGCATCTCCAAAAGGACAGACTCAGAATTGTCCACGGTGCCTTCTGTCACAAAGGCTCAAGCATCCTTCAAGGTCCAGGATAGCAATCAACTAGCTGAAAAAGCTGAAGTCGTCAGGGAACCAAAGGTGACTGGGACGCTAAAGCAACGATTACCTAAACTGCAGTCTCCCAAGAAAGTTGTCTTTCTGAAACAAAATGCCCCTCCCAAGGGCACAGACTCAGGAACGCCTGCTGCGCTATCCTTCTCCAAGATCCAGCCCACCACCCCCAAGCCTGAGGACCAGGGTCAGCCCCTTTGGAAAGCCAAAGGGGCTGAAAAGGTAAAGCAGCATTTGCCAGAGCTGCCTTTCAAGAAAGCTGCCTTCCAGAAACAGAATGGCACCCCCAAGCGTTCCACCTCGTACTCCCACAGTCCCAGCCGGCCTCCACCAGCAAAGAGGAGGAAATCTCAATCCAGAGGCAATAGCCAGCCACCACTGTCTTAGATGGATGGTTGAAAAGTAGACTGGGGTGGCTCATTGCCATTATTGTTGGGTTGGAACTCTTAGCTCTGCGAGGATGGCTTCCCCACTGTGTATTCACATGAAATTTAATATACATTTTACAACCTCTGGCCACTGTGTTTCTCTTTTGGGGGAGTGTGGGGGAGGCAGTAGGGTACTGGCTTTGCTGCCTAGGGTGGAGGGTGGCACTAGGACCCTCTAAAGAGAAGGAACAGTTTGGTACTACTGATTAGATCCATTTCCTCAGGGACCCAGGAAGAGGGGAGAGTTGCCAGTCAGAGCTAGGGTGTTTGGGCTATGAGAAGAGGAGGGCAATGAGGGATGTAGGGGGAGGATGGGCTTCCTGCCACCAAAGCCCATGGGGTACTGGAGGCCCTCGGTTCTAATGCCAGCTCTCTGGCTGAATTCCAGCAGGACTTGCGTTCCAGTCAGAGGGGAGAAGGCTGCTGGGTCTCCTCTCCGCCCTGGGCTCTTCTTCAGACCCGGAAAGGTCCGGGTCTCAGCCTCCAATTAGAGCCTTTCATTAGCTCCCTCTCTGCCCTCTTCCGCCCCCCTGACCTCTGCCCGTCTTGCCGAGCCGTCTGATTGGTTGCCTCGTGTCCCCCGGCCGCCTCATTGGCTCTTCTTCCTCGCTCTATCCCGGCTCCTGCACCAGTCTCCATCTCCCAGCAGAAGGCGCAGCCATGAATCCGTTATTCGGCCCTAACCTCTTCCTCCTACAGCAGGAGCAGCAGGGCCTGCCCGGGCCGCTGGGAGACCCTCTAGGAGGCGACCACTTCTCTGGGGGAGGGGACTTGGCCCCGGCGCCGCTCGCCCCGGCGGGCCCCGCTGCCTTCTCGCCGCCCGGGCCGGGAACGGCGCCCCCCGCCGCCATGGCACTCCGCAACGACCTGGGCTCCAACATCAATGTGCTCAAGACCCTGAACCTCCGGTTCCGCTGCTTCCTGGCCAAGGTGCACGAGCTGGAGCGGCGGAACCGGCTGCTGGAGAAGCAGCTGCAGCAGGCGCTGGAGGAGGGTAAGCAGGGCCGGTGGGGCCTTGGGCGCCGCGACCAGGCCGTGCAGACCGGCTTTGTCAGCCCCGTCCGGCCCCTGGGGCTGCCCCTGGGCGCCCGGCCGGCTGCCGTCTGCACCCCGTCGGCGCGGGCGCTGGGCTCACCTGCGCGCTCGCCAGCCGGCCCCCTCACGCCGTCTGCGGCCGGCCACACGTCGTCCTCCACCGCCCTCGCCACCGCAACCTCCGCCTACTCCTCGTCCGCTCGCTTCATGCCGGGCACCATCTGGTCCTTCTCTCACGCCCGCCGCCTCGGGCCGGGACTGGAGCCCACCCTGGTGCAAGGGCCTGGCCTATCGTGGGTGCACCCCGACGGGGTGGGCGTCCAGATCGACACCATCACCCCGGAGATCCGCGCCCTGTACAACGTGCTGGCCAAAGTGAAGCGGGAGCGGGACGAGTACAAGCGGAGGTAGGGGTTGAGGCCCTAAGGAGGAGACAGCGGGGCCCGGAGGACTGTAGCAGTGGCTCAGGAAGGAGGGAGTAGGGTCAGTGCCCTGCCACATCCAACAGGGCGGGGGTTGGTGTGGGTTCAAGAGCGGGGAGCAGTTGGGGCCCAAGGATGACGGGTGAATGAACTAAGAGTACAAGTTGGTGCTGTAGAATGAGGGACTTGGAAGTAGATGGAATTGAATCCTGGCAGACTGGAATCCACAGGGAATGCAGAAGTAAGACTCGTGACAGGAAGAAGGATGCCAGGAGCAAATATTGTGGGGAGTTTCTGTTTTTCTCCTGGCTTTGCTTTCTCTCTCATCGAGTCTGCAGTGTTAACCGTGGGCTTTTGTGAAAGGGACACAGTCTTAGAGGTACCATCCCGGGTACTGCTTATCCCCACCAGTCTTATCCCTCAGAGCAATCTGGGGATATAAGCTGCACATACCGACCAGAAATAAGAAGCAAAGGATATAACTTTAACTTGGGGGACTCAATTAAGTGACATTGGGAGGGGGTGATGAAGTGGGGACTGTGCCCTGTAGAGGGTGGCCCTACCACAGCCCGGGATGTCCCACAGCAATGTCAGTGGAAACCAGGTCCCTGCCCTGGTTCCACATGAAAGGCTCTGGGGACCTGAAGGCATTTGGTGTAGGTCAGAAGAGTGGGAACAAAGAATAAAGGGAATTTCCTAGGGAAAGGGAAAGGGGCCGGTGGTTGTCATAGGGCTAGTGGAAGCTGGGGGAATCTGAAAAGGTAAAGAGCCAAAGGTGGAGACTGAGCAGGAAAAAGTTGGGAATATAGACACACCCTATGAGTATAAGACAGCTGGGGATGGGCCCAGCACACTCTGAGGATGAAGATTTGACTTTCTCATGGGAACCCAGCAGGATGACGCAGAGGGCGAGGGGCATAGATGTGATGCCAAAGTGACGGCTGTGCACCAAATGGATGCCTGAGGATGGCTGAGAGCAGGCCATTAACGGCAGCAGCCCTGAGCAAGCCAGCACTTTGTAGACTGCGTGATCAGTGCCCTGGTTGAGGAGGAGGAAGATGACAGGAGACTTTGGTTTGGGGGGCCTTCCGGTTAACGCTGGTAGTCACTCATGTCAGCTACCGTGACCCCTTGTGGCAGGCCTAGGAACTACCTTTGCAGCCCAGCGTAGCCAAGCTTGGTGTCTGGTTTAGAGCTGGTGGGGATTGGCTGAATGTTCTGGGAAATGACTGCTGGGTCTGGAGGTGCAACCTTCAGGGATCTCTGACCTGCCAGGGTCTGTCAGGTCAGAGGTCAGAGGGCTTTCTGAGACTGAGTTCTGTCCTCACGCTGGCTTCCTTAGTTGTCCATGGGAAAAGTATCCTTACAGGTCTCAGTTGTCCTAAAACCACCATTCAGATCCACCCAGAACCAGCCTGCTTCTGCAGGAGTTAATTAATGCAGTCAGCAACAGAACATGGACAGTTCAGAAATATACTCCCTAACCACAGGAACAACTGCTGTTCTCAGGGGCTTTTTTTTTTTTTTTTTAAATAAACTGAAAGAGTGTCTTTGGTCCAGCTGTCCAGGGCAGCAAAGAATTATTCCTTGGGGGATGATTAGCTCATCGCTCTGCAGCATGTTGCTGTGCAGAGGGCCCTGTAGCTAGAATTGTGTGGTACGTGATGCGGGCACTTACTCAGGCTTCCACCCCAGATCCCCTGCCCTCGTTCTGTTCTCTTTATAGCAGCACCATCCCTCCTTCCCATCTTTAGCGTGGAAGACATGGGGATAGCTAGAGCACTAAACTAGGAGGGAGCTGAGGCCTCCTGGGTTCTATTTTCAGCTTCCCTACCTTGTGTGACCTGGGATGGGTCTCTTTTTCCTGAGCCTCAGTTTTTCCAGTATAGGACTGGCCCTTGCTTTCTTTTTTCAACTCAAGGATACAGTTTACTTAGAAGAGGGGTGTTTGGGAAATGCAGAATACACAGAAGTCTTTCAAATTCTGCCCATGTTAAGGGAACCTTGTGAGACCAGATTTGAATGGAGGTCCAAATGAACCTACTGTGTGAAAGTCTGGCTGTAGAGCAAATAGTTGGGAATATGGACACACCCTATGACTATAAGACAGTTTATCTTCAGATTTTTGCCCTGTACGATTTTTTAAATCTTAAACCTTAACTTCCTTACCTAAGTTTCGATCTGATTTTGTTGGGTTCCACTGTCAAACAGCGCTGCCTGCCCTGCATCTTGTCCAGGCTCATTGTCGCCTTGTCAGTCTTGCTTTTTACATCCGGAAACTCATAACTCCAGCAGGCACGAGGGTACAGCATCCCATGCCTTCATTTTGTAGATGAAGAAACTAAGGCCCAGAAAAGATAAGGGTCTTATAGCTGAGAAAATAAATAACTGGATGTCACTAGGGCCCTTCATTGGTCTTGACCATCTGAAGGAGAATGCCAGAGCAAAAGGGAGGAGGACATGTGGGGTCCAGAGGAGGAGGGTGGGCAGGGGGTGAGGAAGGCGGGGAGCTGGACTGCAGGAACAGCCGTCAGGGTGGTGGCCAGGCCACTTCCTCTACCCTCCCTGCCAGCGCAGGAGGGGCAGCCAAGGTGATGTGGAGGAGTTATTATTAGGAATACTGCAGTGCAGATGCGGTGAGGAGCCCAGAAGAGTGAGGAGAGACGGGACCAGAGGGAGCACCCAGGGAAGAGAGGAGAGGGCAAGATAGGAAAACAGAGGGAAGGGGAAGAAAAGAATTTAATCCTAGGCCCACAGAATGTGTTCTCTTGGGTTTTAATTTTCTTGCTGTCCTCTTTCCTGCTTCCTAACCACCTTTCTTATATTGAAGTTTCTGTCTTGGTGCAGTTGCCCTCTTTTTCTCAGACTGGAAGAAGGCTTTCCAGCATGTGGCCAGAGTAATGGGCTTATATGAGTAGGGTATGAGAAGTTCTGCCATCCCAGCTGACCTTGTAGGGTCCTGAAATGACAGGGCCCAATCCATAGCAGTGGCATTAGCCCTACCCCCACACTTTCATCTCTGTAATGTAATAGAATATGCACTGGCTTACTGTAGACTGTAATATTTAAAAATCTTAGTCCAGGGAAGTAGATCCTACTCATCCTGCCCTGGCGCCAAGAGTACCTTCTAGCCTACTTGTAGTCTTAGTGTGTGCATTCTGGATGCTGAGTCCCAGGGATCCCAGGAGGTATTGCTTCTAGTTTTCATCTACCGTATTAATGAGGCACCTTGTCATACTCTCATTTCCCTTCCTGGTTTAGGACCCATGGACCACCTCTGGGTTTGAGTGCTCAGAAATGCCAGGCTCCTGTTGTCCATTGCTTTAATGCTGCTGGGGGCTTCTGGCCATAGGGCCAGCCCTGTCACCTCTCCGTGGCTCACTTAGGGGGGCTCTGGGTGGGCAGTTTCTGGAGTGTGTGGGGATGGACTTTGAGCATCTCTTCTCGGGCTCTTGACAAACTCTGTTGATGCGGTCTGTGTCCTGCAGCTGCTTTTACAGGGTTAAATGGTACCACAGGAGGCAGGGCAACAGGCTAGAGGAGCTCTGTTCTGGTGCGGGCAGGAGGCGGGAGACCGGAGCTGTGCGACTGAAGGTGGGAGACTGGGCCGGGTGGGCCTGGTGGTCTGGCGTGGGTAGGAGGGGGTGATGAGGCTAGCTTGACAGCTGGTTGGAACTGGGGCCTAAGTGGGATGGGCAAAGGAAGGGACCAGAGCTGCAGCAGTTGCTCTTAAATATAGTTTCTGGTGCGTGGCCCGAGGTTACGGGAAGGCAGCTGGTGAGCTCGGCACTTGCCAGGAAGTGTGTGGAGCCATGGGCCAAGGCCAAGCCCAGCAGCTGCACTGGCCACCAGCTGGCCCACCAGACAGGCCTGTCCAAGCACCTCCCCATTTAGGGAACCAGACCTGGGGGCTTGTGCCTGAGCTGGAGAGGTGGGAAGCAGGGAGCCATAGGGCAGGGCAGGGCTCTGTACCCATGTTCTCTTGTTCTCCCCATGTCTGCCAGGTGGGAAGAGGAATACACAGTTCGCATACAGCTGCAAGAGCGAGTGAACGAGCTCCAGGAGGTGAGGGTGGCCGCCTCTGCCTGTGCTTCCTCCCGATCCCCCACTTGCCCCTCAGCTCTGGAGCTGTCCCTGCCCCTCTTAGCCTTCTTTACCTCCCCGCATTGGCAGTGCCCCTGACATGAGGGTTTTCGCCCTGACTGTAGGAAGCCCAAGAGGCAGATGCCTGCCAGGAGGAGCTGGCGATGAAGGTGGAGCAGCTGAAAGCCGAGCTAGTGGTCTTCAAGGGGCTCATGAGCAACGTGAGTGCTGCCACCTCCAGTCTTCCCCATGGCGGGGGTCACCAGTAGATCCGCCCGAGAAACAAGCAAGACTGGCCAGTCTAATCTTGGCCAGTTGATTTCCAGTCCCGCCCTTCCCACCTCCCTCTTCTCTGTCCTTCCAGTATCTTCCTTTAAAAAAAAAAAAACCAAACTGTTGCCTTCAGGTGAATTCCGACTTATAGTGACCCCATAGGACAGAGTAGAACTGCCCCATAGGGTTTCCAAAGAGCAGCTGGTAGATTTGAACTGCCGACCTTTAGGTTAGCAGCTGAGCTCTTAACCACTGTGCCAGCAGGGCTCCATTTTTTCCTTTACCACCTCCTAATTCAATAAACAGGAGCCCTGGTGGTGCAGTGGTTAAAGCAATTGACTGCTAACTGAAAGGTCAGCAGTTCGAAACCACTAGCGGCTCTGAGGGACAAAGATGTGGCATTTGCTTCCGTGGAGATACAGCTTTGGAAACCCCATGGGGACGCTATAAGTTGGAATCAGCTCGACGGCAGTGGGTTTGGTTTGGTTTAGAATTCAAGAAAAAAGAAATTAAAGTCCTGGTGTGTGTCAGAGAGACAGTGTAGTCTCCATCATGACTAGAGGTTGTTTAGTGGTTAGTAAAAGCATAGATTTTAGAGCCAGGCTGCCTAGGTCCAGATCCCAGCTCTGCAACTGGCTAGCAGTATGGCCTTGGGGCAAGTTCCTCCAGCTTCCCTGTACCTCTGTATCCTCATGTGTGGAATGGGGATAATCAAGGCACGTGCTTTGCAGAATGATTATGAAGACTATAATGTGCTTGGAACGTTGCCTAGCACACAGTTAGTGCTAGTAAGTGTTAATGATTATTATTATCATCATCACAGTACTTTCCCCAGTCTTGTAATTCCCAGTGGTCTCTCTTTTTCCCAGAGAACATAAGTTCCTGGCGGGTGAGGACTGCTGCTCTGTTGGTTGGAGTGCCCAGTTCTAGGGAGTACCTGCATGTCCCAGGCGCTGGGCCACACCCCCAGGGGCACCTATCCGTCTGGCCAGGGAGCTGATGCAGGAGCAGCCAAAGTCTGAGCAAAGTGCTGTGGAAAGTGCTGCACTCTGCTCTGAGGGACATCTTCATGGAGGAAGTGACAGGCGCATGTGACTGGAGGAGCAGGAGGATCCTGCCAGCATTGTATTGGTCCCTGTCTGGAGTGCGGGTACCTCCTCATTCTTCCCTGTCCTCCCCGGACAGAACCTGTCAGAGCTGGACACAAAGATCCAGGAGAAGGCCATGAAGGTGGACATGGACATCTGCCGCCGCATTGATATCACAGCCAAACTGTGCGACGTGGCTCAGCAGCGCAACTGCGAGGATATGATCAAAATGTTCCAGGTGAGAGGCCTGGGTGCCCTCAGGCCCCTGGGTGGAGATAGGCGGAGTCCTAGCACCCTCCAGTCCACATGTCCCAGTGCCTGAGCCCAGAGGAGGGTTGGGCAGGTGAAGAAACATCACCACTGCTGGCCTGGGGCATAGGCCCTGCCCTCCTCCTTCTTGGGGAACCTTATCCTGGCAGCTGGGGACCCAAGTGGGCCTAGGCTGGGGGGCGAGGAGCAGCCTCTGGAGAGAAGGTTTGGAAGCTGTCTCTAACACCATCTCTCCCTCCCCTTTCTCTCCTCTGTCTGCTTCTTGTCCTCTCTCTCTTCCTCTCATCTTCTCTCTTGCTTTTCTTCACAGAAGAAGCTGGTTAGTTTTGATCTCATGCAAGCTTATTAATGTCCCAGCCCCAGTTTCTAAACTACCCAGGCCTTTTGGCTATCAGTTTTGACCCACTGGGCTTTTCAGCACCAATTTCTTCCTCCTTTCCTATTTTCTTTGCTTTTTTCCCTCTTCTTTTTATCTCTTTTCTTCATTTCTTCCTATCCCTTCTCCCTCTGGCTTTCCAGATCTGGATGTGATTCAAGTTCTCCTTTGCAAACACTGTATCCTCTTCTTCCTTGAAGTTCTAAAACTTTCTTTTTAGTTCCATCATTTCATTAGAAAGACTTTTTTTAGGGGGGAAAATAAACCCTCTTTAGCCATTATACACATCTTAATGTGGTCATAATAAGCCATTTCTCCCCTTATCTTATTGCTCTATTTTTTCTATTTCTTTTTCTTCCTTCTCAGTCTGCAGCCTTGTCCCCACCTGTGTCTGTCTGTCTTTGGTAACTCTCCATGTTTCTGTTCCTGTTGTGGTAACTGTGTCTTTTCTCTCTGTCTGCCTCACCCTTCCTGCTGGTTCATGCTTCTTGCCCCATCCTGCTCCCTCTGTCCCCTCCACCTGCCCTTTGTCCTCATGCACCCGGCCTCCTCCCCCACTCCCCGCCCCCGCGACCCTTTCTCCTCATGCACCCGGCCTCGTCTCTGTAGTCTCTGCACTTGTCTCCCATTAAGGTCCCATCCATGGGGGGGCGGAAGCGGGAGCGCAAGGCTGCCAGCGAGGAGGACCCCTCCCTGTCGGAGAGTGACGGGCCCCGCCAGCCCGATGGGGATGAGGAGGAGAGCACAGCCCTCAGCATCAACGAGGAGATGCAGCGCATGCTCAACCAGCTGTGAGTCCCATAGGCCTGCCCACAACAACCCCGCAGGAGACCCCGCCAGAGGCCGGAGCTCCCCAGCAGCGCCCCCTCCAGGAGTAGCCCCCCTTGACACCTGGGTTCCCTGTCTCTAGGAGGGAGTATGATTTTGAGGACGACTGTGACAGCCTGACTTGGGAGGAGACTGAGGAGACCCTGCTGCTATGGGAGGATTTCTCAGGCTATGCCATGGCAGCAGCAGAGGCCCAGGGAGAGGTAACTGCCCCTTCCAGCCTCAGGGCCCCTCCAGGGTCACCTTTCCAGCTTGGTGCCCTTCCTCGTCCCTTCCCCCACCCCTCGTTCTGGTCCTCCTGTGTGGCCATCATCCTTTACCTGCTTCTCCCCTCCTCCTTTGTTCTTTGTCTTTTCTCTCTCCAGTGTCCTTTAACCTGACTCTCTCTCTCCTCCCTGCCTTGGCCCTGTGGATTGCCTCCGTCCCCACCTTCCTTGGTTGGCCTGCCCTCGCTTCCCTTTCTACTCCAGCAACAGGAAGACAGTTTGGAGAAGGTGATTAAAGATACCGAGTCCCTGTTCAAAACCCGGGAGAAGGAATATCAGGAAACCATTGACCAGATAGAGGTAAGGGCATGGGTTGGAGCCAAGGGGCCCAGTCACCCAGCAGGTCGTGAAGGGGCTGCAGCTCCAGAGCCTCATCGCTGTGGGACCCTAGAGGCCTTCTCTTTCCTTTGCGGGGAGGCTGAGAAGTCCACCTGCCTCCTCCCCAAGTCAGAGTGCACAGGACAGGGTCACCTCACACACAGAAAGGGCTGACAAGGAGCCATGGCCAACTCTCCTCCCACAGCTCACTGCCTGTAGCCCCTGAAGGTCTAGAGTTATACTCTATTGCCCTCACACTGCCTACATTTTGAGAAGAAAGTTGAGGAATTACCTTCTTATATATCCACTCTCCCAACACACGTGGAATTGTTCTGCTGCTTTAAGCAAAATCTGCTTTTTCTCTGCCCAGGCAGACAAATGCTAAAGTTTAAAGGCACGGCCGGACTTATCTCCTAGCTAAGGGGATGGGAAGGGAGAACTGGTCATCTCCACTCTCCCGTTTATACCAGTCTCGCTGTCTCCTCTCTCCCTCCTCCCTTACCTGTCTCTTCCGGATGGTGGAGTCAGGGTTTCATGTTTCCACTATACTTCCAACCATGCGGGGCCTTAGAGCAAGAGATGTGGGGCTGCTGCCTCTGCCTGGGTCTTCTCCTGGGCCAAAAGCAGCCAGGATAAAACATGACCTGGAACAAGAGAAAATCCTAATTGGAAACAAGTCTTGAAGATCTTTTCCAGTCGTCTTGACTCCTTGCTCTCACAGTAAGGTGATATGAGGAGAAATATTAGGAACACTAACCAGGGGGCTTTGGCTTCAGGTTGCTCCTGATGACCCATCTGGAGCATCCAAGGCGCCTACATCCTTGTGACCTTTGATCTCTAGGGTCACCGTGTTGGAGGCAAGGGACATTTCCCATTATCAGAGGGTAAAGCCAAGGCCCAAGGTGGTGAGTGGGAAGGGCTTCTTTCCCTGCTTCTCCCCTCGTCTCCCTGTCTGTTCCCATCCTTGCCCCGCCCGACGAGTCACACAGCATAGGTTGTTGAGGATATCTCCTGACTTCTGTGGTCATCTCCTCACCTCATCCCTGCTTTAACTGTTTGAATTGAGGGGCTACAGACAAATAAGTAGAGTTGCCTGGTGTCTGTACTAGCCTTGGAACTTGATAGAAATGTACTTGGTTCATTTCCTTCTTCCTGTCCCCTGAAGATGGGTTCCAGAACCCAGTTCCCTTCACTCTGGCTCTCCCGAGTTGGAGAAATTGGGGTGTAGGTGGCAGCTGATCTGAATAAGAGCTAGTGGCGTCATATTTACCTCCTAGTTTGGACAGCCAACATGTCCTGTTCCTCTTGCTTGCAGCTTCCCAGCACTGGAGCCAAGCCTGCCGTTTGAGCCATGCTCACTAGGGCTTCTGACCCCCTAGGCACCATCTCATCATAACTGTCACTGTCCTGACCATCTCTCTTGTCTCGCCCTATGACCCATTTACTTCTTTCTCCAAGTACCCACCTCTCTTTGTCAGATTCAGATTACTCACGGGTAGTTTCCTACCCTTTCTCTGTTTTCAGGCATTCAAGCAGATTACCTCAAGTGGTTTTATTCTGTTTCCCCTTTTGGCCCCTGTCCTTTGTACCCCAAACAAAGGGAGGCAGCGCACTGTCTCTGGCCCAGATCTTTTACTGCCTTTGCCTCTGCCTCTCAGCTCTACCTCACAGCCTGCTTGCTGCAGAATCGGGCTCTCCTGGGAGGGAGACCTTGTTTCCTTGACTCTTGAGCACCACATTTTTTCGCATATAACATTTCTGAAATTGAGATACATCTTAGAATCGATAGGGCATTCAGTATGGCAATCGATAGGGCATTCAGTATGGCAGTCTTTCTTTTAGTCTCTGAAAATGGCTTATAAGCGAGGAAATAAATGTATTAGCTTCCTAGGGCTGCCGTAATGAAGTACCACAAATTGGGTGGCTTATAAGAACAGAAATTTATATATCATAGTTCTGGAGGCTGAGAGTCAGTAGGATTGTTTCTTTCTGGAGGGCTCTGAGGGACAATCTGCTCGATGCCATTCTCCTAGCTTCTGGTGACAGCCAGCGATCCTTGGCATTCCTTGGCTCGTAGATCTCTCCAGTCTCTGCCTCTGTCTCCACATGGCCATTTCCCCTTTGTCTCTTCTCTTTTATAAGGACGCCACTTATGTTGGATTAGGACCCATACTACTCCAGTACTCATGCTGACTTAACTGATAACGTCTTCAAAGACCCTATTTCCAAACAAGTCACGTTCATAGATACTGGGAGTTAGGGCTTCAGCGTCTCTTTTTTGGGGGGGGGGCACCATTCAATCCACAACAATAAAGTAATGAGGAGAAAATGGGAAGAGAATTGAGCCCCTTTCACCAGTGCAGACAGCTTTCCTTGGTGCCATGAGTCTTGTCGATACTTCACAAAATTAATTAATTTGCATCAAGGCATTAGGCATGCAGAGATGAATGAGACCTGTTGCCAACGGTTAAAGGAGCTCACAGTTGAGCCCAGGAGACAGAGGTGGGTGCAGCGTTATACAGGGACTATGGGATGAGCCAAGCCCTGAAGGAACCCCGTGGGCGGAGGGGAGGCAAGCCAGACCACAAATGGCACACCCTGTGCTGTAGTAAGAGTGCTGGTCCTCTCCCTTCTGCCCACAGTTAACATTCCTTTCTTCATTTCTCTTTTCACTCTGTTACAAGAACACAAGCTTGTACAGACACCTTTGCGTTCCTTTGTAGACAGAGATCCCCAGAACACTTGGGAAAGATAGTATATTCATGGTCTTCTGTTTCAGTCCAATTTATTTGTAAACCCAAGCCCCCCACCATGGCTGCCTGGGCGCCTCTGCCCAGCGAGTGTTCTTGGTGTGTTAGCCTCTGGGAGTCAGGAGCAGGGATGCTGTGCTGACCTGATGGCCCTGCCGCCCCGTCACAGCTGGAGCTGGCGACAGCCAAAAACGACATGAACCGGCACCTGCATGAGTACATGGAGATGTGCAGCATGAAGCGGGGCCTGGACGTGCAGATGGAGACTTGCCGCCGGCTCATCACCCAGTCTGGAGACCGGTAAGGGGCTCTTCTGGGGCGGGCATACACGGGGCCGAGAGCAGAGCTGCTGGCTGGCCAGCCCAGCAGAGCCTGTGGCAGTGACTCAGTCATATATCAATGCGAGGCTGCCCTTCAGAGGTCCCCTGGTAGTCCAGCCCAAATGACAGTTGGATGATACGTATGTCCATCTGTGGCTGAACAGCTGAAACTCCAATGCCACCAATTCTAGTGGTCTCCTGGGAGGCAGGAACAGAAGGGGTGTGGGGGTAGATTTTTATCTAAAGTCAGGGCCATGATTTGTGCATTTGGCCCTGTGTAAGTTATACCCCAACCAAAAAGTTTAAAAAAACAACAAAAATGTCGTGATAGCAAATAAAGCCAGGGCCATAGTGTCAGTGCACTTGGCTCGGGCAGCGCCTCTTGGAAAGATTTCTGACCTGAGCCTCTCAGAGTCCCCAAGACGGTGGGGGCCATTTCTCCCACCAGGGTGTGGCATGAGAGGGTTCCTTTTCTCACCACCTCCCTTACCCTCTGCTCGCCTTCACCCCGTGGCTTCCCAGCCCCTGCCTAAGGTGCCATTTACTTACCTGCCAGAGAATAAGGGCACAGGGAGAGGAACGTCTCATCAGGATTCCTTCTTGCCCCAAGGTGACAACTGGCGTTTTTTTCTAGAAAGTCTCCTGCTTTCACTGCGGTCCCGCTTAGCGACCCGCCGCCACCGCCAAGCGAGGCTGAGGACTCCGATCGCGATGTCTCATCTGATAGCTCCATGAGATAGGGACCTGCCTCCACCTTGGCTCCCCTTGTGGCCCCACCCTGCTGGGGACTCATCGCTGCAGATGGTGGTGGGAGGAGGCTCACAGAGGGGAACGGCACTTGTCCCACCACACCAAGCCTGGCCCCAGGGCCTGGGCGCCCCTTTCTTGGCTTCCCCCTTGGCATCTACAGGGTTGTGGGGTCTGGAGCTAGGCTTGGCCCTGCCCTTCCCGGGTGACTCCCACCACAGTCCGGACTCTCCTCCCTCCATGCGTGGGTGTCTGCTGCTTTCCCACCTTAGAATGCTGCCAGACTGCAATGTGGCCCCTGACCTGTGTATAAGGAATGTGTTGGCTCTTCCCTCCATCCTGTGGCCTCGTGCCAGCTCATTGTCTTTGATTCCATACTGGTGCTAACTGGCCTGGGCGCTGGTATGAAGTGGATTAAGCTGGACGTTCAGTGAACAACACCTGCAGTTTGGTGGGGTTCCCTCCCTGTTGTAGACGGAAGGAAGCAGGGCTCAGCAGGGTGCCGTCCCAATGCTCACGGCTGCCCACGTGATGGATGTGGCTCCCTTCGTCTGGGAGGTGCTACGCATTAAAGGGGCCATAGTGCCCTGGCGTAGGTGGCTTCTGGATCTGACTGATGCAGTATCCTGGAGGGAGATCCAAGCTTTTGCTCGGCTCCCAGTCAGTGCTGAGTGATAGAGAAAAAGGTGAAGCTACTTGTGTGTGTTCACATAGGCACTGTGCATGCGTGGGTATGTGCGTGTGCTCAGGGACTCAGGGTCTTCATCAGCTGAAGATATGCCTCCTCCGTGTCTGTTACACGTGAGACCAACAGGCTGAGTAAGAGGACATCCCTGACTTGCAAAAGCTTGGAGAAACTGGGGAGATGTGATTGAGAATGGTAACTCAGTGTAACTGCCTAGGGAGGCTGTACTGACATTTGAATGGAATCTTTAATAATAATGAAACTGGCAATTATTGAGCACGTTTGTGTCACTGTTTCAAGTGCTTTCTGGTATTAGCTACACAATCCTCCTGACTCTGTGCAGTATGTGCACTGTCCTCTTCATCATCTCCATTTTATAAATGTGCATGGGCACAGTGAGGCACAGGGGCGTTCTAAGTAACTTGCCCAAAATAAAAGTGGCAGAGCCAAGATTTGAACCCAGGTCACCTCCAAGCCTGTACTCTTCCCCAATTAAGCCCCTGTGCCTCACCCAAGGACAGTAATAGGCACATTGTGGGCCTGTTCTGTCCTGACATTCACCATGTCTCAGTTCATCCTCCCCCACACTACAGGAAGTAGGCATTAGCTTGTTAGTACTTCCTGTGTATTAGGCCTGGTTCTAGGTGCTTTATATGTTTTACCCACTTTAATCCTTCTAAAGACCTTAGGTGTTGGGTACTGTCATAGCCTCACTTTGTAGGTGAAGTAACTAGGGCACAGAAAGGTAAACAACTCACTGGCAGAGCTGAAGTAGTTTGAACTCTAGCAGTCGAGCTACTCTTCACTTCAGAGGTCACATAACCTGCTAAAAAGTAACATGGACTTGGGTGCCAGATTCCGAAGCATACATTTTCAGTGCCGTTACCTTCCAGGGGTCTGCTAGACAGAAAAGGGGCAAACAGCCTTCACAGGAGAGGTCAGGTGATAGGACCATGGGAGCTTAGCCAACAGCTAGTAACCTGGGGCTGGAGCTCTTAGAGACAACAGTCTTGACCTCTTAACAACTGGTTGTGTTGGCTTCCTGCTCTAGAGTAAACCCAAACAGCTTCCACCTGAGGAGAGGTGCCAAGGGTGGGCATAGCTGAGCTGTAAACCTTAGTTTGTGCTTGGTTGTGGCACGCTAACTCCCTTGTTGGTACCTTTACCCGTTACGGTGGAGTCAACTCATAGTGACCCTATAGCACAGAATTGTCCCATAGGATTTCCAAGGAGATGCTGACCATTTGGTTAGCAGCCAAGCTCTTAACCACTGTGCCACCAGGGCTCCTTGGTACCCTTAGCAAGATATATTTCACCTTAGCATTAGTCCAGCTTCCCTTCTCTCTATCCCAGACCCTTGGAAAAGATGAAATCAACAAAGAGGTGGCTGGGTACAGTATACTTTATTGATGGTACATGACAAGGTTGGGCTCTCTAAGCCCCTCACCCCTTCTTCAGGGGGTACGGATGGAAGCTGTGTAGAGGATGGAAGATTCTCAGTGTGTTGGATGGAGTTGGGGCAAGGACTCCCCAGCAGCTGAGAGGGCCTCTCTCTTCCTCTAGTGCTGTTGCTGGGGCTGGTGGTCCAAGGGGATCTTACTCCTTAGAGGCCATGTGGACCATAAGGTCCACCACCCTGTTGCTGTAGCCAAATTCATTGTCATACCTGAAAGAAGAACAGAAGTAGGTAAGGGCTATTTTTCTGAGCTAGCCACCAGAGGGCGCAAACCCTGAAGCACTTTCTCTTTCCCTGCCACTTACCAGGAAATGAGCTTGACAAAGTGGTCGTTGAGGGAAATGCCAGCCCCAGCATCAAAGGTGGAAGAGTGGGTGTCACCGTTAAAGTCACAGGAGACAACCTGGGAAAAGGGAGAGAGCCAAGAGTGGGAACCCAGTCTTGCTAAGTGGGGCCACATGGGAATCCAGCTCCCTGTCCTCTCTGTACCTGGTCTTCAGTGTAGCCAAGGATGCCCTTTAGGGGACCCACTGATGCCTGCTTCACCACCTTTTTGATGTCATCGTATTTGGCCTGATACAGTAAAAATAAGATGGTTATTCAAGTTCCAGCCTCACAGCTTTACCAGACACAAACCTCCAGCCCACCAAAGCCCAACCCAAACTTACAGCTTTCTCCAGACGGCAGGTCAGATCCACGACTGACACGTTGTGGGTGGGGACACGGAAGGCCATGCCAGTGAGCTTCCTGCAGACACAGGGAAACCGAATCAGCACCTGCACCCCCTGGCTCTCTGTCTTCCCTCCCTCTCAGTCCCCTAGATCCCAAGGCAGAAAACCTTACCCATTCAGCTCAGGGATGACCTTGCCCACAGCCTTGGCAGCACCAGTAGATGCAGGGATGATGTTCTGAGCAGCCCCACGGCCATCACGCCACATTTTCCCAGAGGGACCATCCACAGTCTTCTGAGTGGCAGTGATGGCATGGACTGTGGTCTGGAAACACGGAGGGAGTGAAGGCCCTGCAGAGCCTTCATCACACCACCCTCCTCCCTCACCTTTAGAAGGAATTAAGGGATAGTGACCTGAGCCAACTCCCTTGGAGTCCCCAGTGCCCCATGGCCCAGGTTCTAAGGAGAATCCTGGGTAAGAAATAAATTTAAGCTCTGGTCACTTTCCCCATCACTCTCATACCATGAGTCCCTCCACGATGCCAAAGTTGTCATGGATGACCTTGGCCAGGGGGGCCAAACAGTTGGTGGTGCAGGAGGCATTGCTGAAAAGAGGGAGGCACGTCAGGGAAAAGCATGTCCACCTTGTGACACACAGCACTGTCTAACCACTTCTCCACTCCCCCTGCCATCCTCACCTGACAATCTTGAGGGAGTTGTCATACTTCTCGTGGTTCACGCCCATTACAAACATGGGGGCATCGGCAGAAGGGGCAGAGATGACTACCCTTTTGGCGCCACCCTTCAAGTGAGCCTGTGGTAGAGTAGAGAAGCAGTTACAAACCCAGGTTCTACCTTTCGGGGTCTGTCAGCTTCTCCTATTCTTCCTGTTGCACCATATCCCAGGACCAGTCCCCCTCATCCATAGCCTCCCTACCACTCACCCCAGCTTTCTCCAAGGTTGTGAAGACACCGGTGGACTCTACAACATACTCAGCACCAGCATCACTCCACTTGATGTTGGCGGGATCTCGCCTACAAGGTAGGAACAGGACAAAATTAAGGGACGTGAGGTACCATGTACCCAAGGTGGTCACCCTATCCCACTACCTCCCCCAAAGCAAATTTCTTCCTGTCCTGATTTCCACACTTACTCCTGGAAGATAGTGATGGGCTTCCCATTGATGACAAGCTTTCCGTTCTCAGCCTTGACGGTGCCATGGAACTTGCCATGGGTGGAATCATACTTGAACATGTAGACCTGGGGGGAGCAAGTGAAGGCATCAGGGGGCTGCCCCTCAGCTAGGTTCTGCCTCTCCACCAGCTGCATGGGCAGCACTCACCATGTATTGGAGGTCTATGAACGGGTCATTGATGGCAACAATGTCCACTTTGCCGGACTGAAATGCAGCCCTGGTGACCAGGCGTCCAATACGGCCAAATCTGAGGTTAGTTAACAAGGTGAGAGAAGGTGTGAGTAGGAGAGTAGAGTATTTCCCTGGGTAGGTAAACAGCTCTAGGCCAACTCGCCCAGTTAAAGAGAACAGAACATAGTATTTGCTATCTCCAGAAAATCCTAAGAGATCTGATTTTATCTACATCAGGCAATCCTGCCAGACCAGCCTGGCTTTACTGCACTGCCATAAAGTGAAGGCTCCTACCCTGTTCAAGAAGTGAGTAGGCTCAAAGGCTTCCCCATCTCCCCCAACCATTCAAAGTCCTTCAAGGATAAGTGGTGGTGCAGGGCACTGCCGCTGCCACCCAGTCTGGACACATGCCTAGCACATGTCAGCCACCCACTGTCTATGCCCTGGGAATGCTTGTTCTTGTCTAGCCCAGCTTCAGGCCACATGCTCTAGGGAGCAGAGACTTGTGCACTCAGCATCATCAAGCTCAAAGGGCAGGAGTGAAGATTAGAAATCAACTGGGCGGGGTAAGCCCACCCCAGCTCCAAGTGCCTCCTACTAAAGGGAAAGACTGAGAAAGGAGTGGCCTTTCAACCAGGGATTTGAACTGGTTCATTCCCCTACGAAGAATATTTCCACCCCAGATATACTGAATCAGAATCTACATTTTAAGACCCTCCCTGGGTGACTCTGATATATACATTAAGAAATCACTTAGAGATCTTGTTAAACTGTAGACTGATTCAGTATATCTGGAGTGGATATGAAAATTCTTAGCAGGGGGTCGACCGGGAATGAACTGGTTTTGGTTCAAAGCCCTGCTTTCATTTCAACCCCCTAACCCCAAAGCTCTAATTTGCTGAACTACTGTCCTTCCTAGCTCTTTTCCAAATACCAGGAGTAGCAGCAACAAGTGTGTGTGTGTGTGTGGTGGGGGGTGGTGGTAATGAATGGAAGAGAGGAGAGAAGCCCAGGCCCCCATCTACAGAAAGGTCAGGCAGCTATATTTAACCTCTGGAGTGGGGAGATCTGGTTTCTAGAAGATGGAATGAGAAGAAGGGCAGGATTCCCAAGGCTCCAACACCTAACCCTCCCAGTGCTGCCCTTTAAGGTTGGGTCAGGCCTAGGCATGGATGAGGAGGTATGAGGCGAGCTAGCATGAGGAAGAAGCTTCTGTCACAGGAGCCATTTTACGTGGTAATTTTTTTTTTTTCCTGCCCATGACTCAGCTCCCTCAGCTTCGCACTGAGCCACAGCTACCATACCTCAAAACGAAACGAGGGAGCACTCCCCACAAACCTAGGAGAAGCATCATTTCTGAGAAAAACATTTGGCTGGAGGCTTAAGGGATGGTCTTGGGCTAATACGTCAAAGGATTTAGTACCGAGGTCCAGCTCTTTTGAGAGGAAGAACTGGCAAGCTGGTTTACCGGATAAAGAGACTCCACCCTACTGAGGCAGGAGTGGAGTTAGTCATAGGCAAGGAAAGAGGAAGACTGGAAAACTAAGGAAGGTTCCTAACGGTGGTTCACTCATTTCCTCCCAAGTTGCAACATGGCGGTAACCGCAGGTAAAACCTCCCAGCCGGGTATGCACCGCGCTGTGCATTTTGCAAACCGGTGCAGTGCCCGGTAGGAAGGAGGCCAGTGGAGGAGGGGCGCCTCCCCAGGCACGTGACCCCGCAGGGCGCGAAAGGAAAGAAAGGAGACCCAGCTAGGGGATTAGGGGGATGGATCCAAAGCGAGAATTGGGAACTCTCCTGTTTTATCTGCGGCGGTGGAATGTAACGCTCCAGACAGCTCGTGCCCGCAGGGGCGGAGCTACCCGAGGCGCAAGAGCAGATGGTGGGAGACACTGGGGCCTTTGAAGGGGGAACTTCCGCCAGATCGGAGCGCTGACCTTGAGTTCTCCTTGGGCAGGACGGCACGGCCGACACGGCCACCCCACCCACCTCCCCACACCGTGGTAGAGACCTGCTAACGCAATTTGGTGGGGGCTGCCCGCAGCCCTTGCCCGAAGAACTTAATGCCCCACCCTACCCGCCTAACTCACCCGTTTATTCCGACCTTCACCATCGTGTCTCAGGGATGCGGCTGCGGGAGAAAAGGAAGATGAGCATCCGAGCAGGGTCGCACCCCAGCCCCACCCACGAGGTCCGCGGCAAAGGGTGCATGAAGCCCAGGCCCACGCCTTCCTCCCCACCCCCCCAGCGACCGCCTCCATTCCCACACAGCGCTGCATCACGTCCTCCCACCCCTGCAATGCGGAGGCCGGACCCCGGCACGTCCCAGACCCACTAGTAGTCCAGCCAAGCGCGTGGCCCGCCCACGCCCCCTGCCCTCCCAGTCCCTTCCCAATAGCCTTTTGTTGCTCCGCTTTCCCTTGGCTACCTGACACTGCACAAAAGGTAGGGACCACCCACAGCCAGCAGGAGCAGAGAACACAGGAGAACGCTGCCGCCTCAATTTATAGGGTCGGGGGTAGGGGGAGCCAGTGACGGGGGCTCCGCCTCCCGCCCAGCTCGCCCAGTCCCAGCCCAAGGGCCCTGAGGCCTGAGCTACGTGCGCCCGTAAAACTGCGAGTAGCGCGGCCTCCCCCGCTTCTTCCCCGGCCCTGCCTTGCGCTTCAAATGCGCACGCACCTGGCGTGTGGGCTCCGGGATGGAGAGCGGGAGGGGGCTGAGATTGACCCGATGCGGGAGGGGGACAGTGTTGGAGCCCAGGACCTTGCTGTGGGACTATAGCTCGAGGATTGGGGCCCTGATGATAAATGAGGAAATCAGGGAGCCACAGACGTTGAAGTTGCTGCGTGAATGAAACGAGAGGACTTTGGGAGCTGGTGGGATGGAGGTTTGGAGTAGGAGCCCGGGGCGGTTTACAGCTGCACGCTACCACCCTCTCCCCCTTTTTTCAAAGGCAGAGAGGTGGGAAAGGAGAGGAACCTCTCCTCGAGACTCTTCGGTAGTGACATAGGAAGAGCTGAGGAAAAGACCCGGGGGGGAGGAGTGGTGCTTCCTCCAGCGGAGCCCTTCCCAACCCCCACCTCCTCCTCCTCCACCTCCTCGTCCCCTGGCTCCCGGCCTCTCGGGGTCGGGGGCCTGGGCTGGGCGCTGGGCATTGGCGCCTGAAGAGAAGGAGGCTCAACAGAGGGCTTGAGGGGGAGGTTTCTGCACTGGAGGTCACCGTGTCCTGTAGCTCGGGCAGCTCGGAGGCCCGATAATTGGGGCGGACAAACCAGTCCTTGTGTGCATCAGCTGCTCTCCCGGCCCCGGGCTGCGGCCCCAGGGGGACTGGGCTGGTGCAGGGACAGAGGCCTCCCACAAAGTCACTCCTGGGAACCTGAGGGCTGTGCCGCCCAGGGTGGGAGACAGTGCCCCTTTCACTCCCTCCAGCCCAGAGCCGAAAGCGGACGTGAGGGCGGTAGTCCCTCCCCAGCCTGGGACGTGCAGGCAAGCCTGGGAGCCAGGGACTCTCCTTCACTGGTTGCTCGCCCAGGGGATGCTGGGGGCAGGGTGAGGCGCCCAGAAAAGGGAAAAATAGGGGGAAGAGGATCTTTTTTGGACACCTCGTGGGAGCAGCCCCTCATGCTCACACCACACACAGGAGGGAAAGGAGGGCTGGGGTTCTGAGCACTTGAACGAGGGCTCTGAGGTGAGTGGGGGAATGGACATTGCCCATCAGCAGGTGCAGGGGAGGGGGATCCAGGAGCCTTTTTGCTGGCTCAGTGTAACCTGAGACCAGCCCCCTGCCCTTCTAGCTGAAAGCCTGTGGCTAAGTTTAGCCGACCTTTGCTTAAAAGTCAGGGAGCATGCTGTCCTGCACCCCACACTCCAGCCCCAGTCTCCCTTTCTGGGATTGCCCTCCCTCTTTGGGGCCCCAGAGCCAAGGCTGTGTCCACACCTGGCAGTCATCTGCGTGGCTGGTGCCAGGCTTTTCACGAAGATCAAGAGCGGGGCAAGAGGGCATATGATGGGGAGAGAGGGTGGGAAGCGCCAGCTGCAGAGGGAGCTTTCTAGAGCTTGAGTGTGGTGGGGGAAGCGGAGGAGGCGCCTGCACTGGCAGACGTGAGTTCCAATCTTGCTGAGGCTTGACCAGGTCCATTACCCTTTACCCACAAAAGGCCTTAGAGCCCGTCCATGCTCCTGTGCTGTCTAAAGCATGATTCTGAAGCACCATCTTCCCCTTTGCTTTTTGCTTGTCATTTTTCATTATTGTCCTCTGCCAAAAAAAAAAAAAAAAAAAGATGGAGCTCAGTGCCCAGGAAATACTACTGACGCAATCTGCTGTTGTCATGACAGCAAAGCCACCAGTGTCGTCATGACAGCAGACTCACTGCCTCCTGTTCCAGGTGATTCACCAGAGACCAGGCTTGCGGTGTTGGATAGGGTTGGACAGTCTTTAGGGAGGCAGGCTTAGCAGTATGGCCTGCACCTGAGGGGCTTGACTGCCTACAGACCTTCCACATAGTGAGGAATCCCTGGTAGACAGAGCTTATCTCCCTCTAGAGCTGGAGGGGATCATGATCTGACCTTCCATCAGCCCAGCCAGGTCATTCACCCGTATTCAGATATGGGATTAGGGAACATAGTGGGGGTGGGGTGGGGAGGGCAGACAGCAAACCAGCCTTTGGTCTAGAGCAGGGTTTCTGGCACAGATTGTTGTGGGGGGCTGACTTGTGCACTGCAGAATGTTTAACAGATTCCCTGGCCTCCACCCACTAGATGTTAGTAGCAGCCCCACCCCCAACTGTACAATAAAAAAATATCTCCAACTCGTTGCCATCGAGTCGCTTTCAACTCATAGTGACCCTACAGGATAGAGCAGAACTGCCCCATGGTGTTTCCAAGGAGCGGCTGGTGGATTTAGACTGCTCCAGACATTGTTAAATGTCCCCTAAGGGGTAAAACTGTACCCAGGTTGAGAATTGCTGATCTAGAATGTAGGCACTGGCATAATTCTCCTGAGTGGAGCAATCTTGTCACGTGTGTGGGTTGGGGAGGCTGAGAAGGGCAAGATGAAACACTGAGGGAGCATGAAGCTTGGCAGATCTTGAGACAGGCCCCAGGAGGACTCCTGGGCCTGCCCTCTTTCTGGACTGACAACCCTCTATCTGCTGCCTGAATCTGGGCTTAGTGAGAAAGATGAAACAATGACAAGTTTAGGAAAAACATCTAAAAATACATAAACCCTTATCCACTGCTGGTAGGATTGTAAAATGGTACAACCACTATGGAAAATGGTATGGTATTTCCTCAAAAAACTAGAAATAGAACTACCTTATAATCCAGCAATCCCACTCCTAGGTATATACCCCAGATATCGAATAAAAGAGACACCAACAGACATATGCACAACTATAGTCACTGCAGCACTATTCATAATAGCAAAAAGATGGAAACAACCTAAGTGCCCATCATGGATGAATGGATTAAAAAATGTGGTACATACAGTGGAATACTACACAGCCATAAAGAATAATAAGTTCTTGAAACATAACATGGATGAATATGGAGGACATTATGCTGAGTGAAATAAATCACAAAAGGACAACTATTGTATGATTTAACTTTTTATAAGACAAGAATAGGTATATATACAGAGACCAACGTTCACTGGGGATGGGGGTAGAGGGAAATCACTCTATAGATAGTAGACACTTGTTATTTTAGGTAATAGGAAATGTAGCACTGAATGTGGGTGAAGTACACACAGCTTGACCAAGTTAAAGGATGCCACTAAAAAATACACAAGAGAAAAGGACATTTTTGGTAAAGGATAAGACATATATAATTTTGCAACACCACTAACAACCAAAAAAAAATGTGTGTGGTTATGTATGTATGCATATATGTGTATGGGTATATACAGTTCATGTGCCGCTTAACACCCGTTTGGCAACAACTGCATATACGTCGGACTGCATATATGTTGAGGTCCTATGTTATATAGGCAGTTCCTGGGTTACGAATGTCCAACTTACGTACCTGTAGTTATGAACCAGCCCCCATAATCATATTAAAAATTCAAGGTACATACAATGGTTTGTAATAACAAATGTGCACTACTTTGCGATGTGCACTGTATTACTATGTTAAAGATGTTTTAGTGTATCTGGAAGTGTTTCTTTAATGTTTTTTATGTATAGGAAGGTACATTATACACTAAGACAAACATTTGACTAATGTTAGATATGAACCGTACCTAACTGTTCCGACTTATGGACAAATTCGACTTAAAGACAGACTTAGAACTAATTCGTAATCTGGGGACTACCTGTATATAATAATACGGTGTTTGCACAATGTCCAAATCACATAACTTCCTATTTCACAGAACTTACTGTGGATGTTAAGTGATGCATGACTGTATATGTATGTACATATGTATACATGTATAGATGTAACTGGAGCCCTGGTGGTGCAGTGGTTAAGAGCTCAGCTGCTAACCAAAAGGTTGGCAGTTTGAATCCACCAGCCACTCCTTGGAAACCCTATGGGACAGTTCTACCCTGTCCTATAGGGTCACTATGAGTTGGTACTGACTCAACTGCAACGGGTTTTTTTTTTTAAATAGACATAATTATATGTGTATGTATACACAGGCATGTGTATGCAAACACATATATTCATATATATAAACCACAGGGGGGCACAGTTGCGGATACTTCTTAGACATAACCAAACACCTTGTGAAACTGGTTTTATGGGTTTGAAGGTTTAGGACCATGATCTCATGGCATGGGACAACTTGGTCAATTGGGATAATATAGTTCATAAAGTTTATGTTCTACATCCTATTTTGGTGAGTAGTATCTGGGGCTTTAAGTCTGCGAGCGGCCATGGCCATCTAGGATACAACTACCGGTCTCTACTTGTACACAGCAAAAAAGAAAGAAGGAAACCAAAGGATCAGAGAAGAAACTAGTCTATGGGACTAATAGTCAACATGAACCATGGCCTCATCTACCCTGAGACCAGAAGAACTAGATGGTGCCGATTACTGTTGGCTACCAGCTACTACTAACAGCCATTCTGATCAGGGCCACAATATATGGACCCTGATAGAATGGAAGAAAAATGTGGAACAGAACTTAAATTCTTAAAGAGCCGAGGCTTGCTGGATCCACTGAGACCCGAGGAGTCCCCTAGAATATCGCCCTGAGATACTCTTCAAACCTTGAACTAAAACTATCCCCTGAGGTTACCTTTTAGCTAAACAACAGAGTGGCTCATAAGATAAACAATATAACCTGTAAGTACTGTCTTTCTTTAAAAAATCATCTATATGAGACTAAATGGTCAACAATTACTCTAAAGCAAAGATGAGAAGGTAAGGGGGCAGCGAAACTAGATTACTAGAAATGCAACAACCAGGATGACTGACACATTGTGAAAAATGTAACCAATATCACTGAATAATTTGTGTAGAAATTGTTAAATGAAAACCTAGTTTGCTGTGTAAACGCTCACCGAAAATACGATAAAATATTATTTAAAAAAAATAAAAGTACATAAAAACATTTATTCATTAGAAAACAAGGAGATTGGCAAACATACTCCAAAGTGAAAGCAGTTCAACTCAGTTCAGTTAGGCTAGTTTAAGAGAAATGCCTTCCGTTATAAAGATCATCTACGTATTAAAAAACAAGGAGACAGGCAAACAAATATTTTACAAGGAGAACAGGATTCAGGTGGCCTCACAGAACCCCTGCATAGCAGGGATGGGAACAAGCAAGATGACCTCTCAGGACCTGTGTCTGCGAGTGGACGCTCGGCGGATGGGGGTTGTTTTCTTGGGTGTCTCATCTTCTGTCATCTCTGCTGAAAGCTCTATAGAAAGAATTGGAGGAGTGAAAAAAAGCTGAGTCACAAAGATGGTGAAAAATAGATCTTGAAGAACAAATGGGACAACCCCAGATCAATTATAGAAATATAACCCAAACTGCACTGGAGGAAGACAACCTAGAGGTCTGGGGTTAGGAGAATCTATACTTAATCAGGTCCCGGGCCACCACAGTAGGACATGATCAAACCAGCCTCACCCCCCAAGCTATGTTCCTTCTGGCCAAGTCCAGGAGGGAGTATCATACCTTCCTCACTGGACTCATCACTTGAGAAGACAATTTTGAGTTTCTTTTTAGAAGCTTGCTGCTGGGTATCTGGATGCCGACGGGCAGTACGGCGGGGCTCAGGTGTCACAAAGTCATCGTCGGAGGCAGCAGAAGCCACGTGCTGGTGCCTAGAAACTAAAAAGGCAGGGTCGCAGGAGTCCAGAAAAAAAAAAAAATAAAGGAAAGAATCGCAGAATGCAGACCTTGGGTCTCTCCACCCACAGGGCTGCCTCACATACCAGCGGATTGTTTCTTGGTGCCCGACGGGGCTCTCTGGCTTCCCCCTTGGCCAGTCTCAAGCTCCTCTAGCACATCGCCCCCTCTAGTGTGACAGGCCCGAAGCTTCTGCTCGAATTCATCTATTATAGCCTGAAGGGAAAAAGGGAGATTAAAAGCAGGCTTAGAAACAGTTATCTCTATAATTAAAAAGAAAACAGGAATTGGAGACAGAGAGATCTATTTCAGGTCACTCTGGTAACTTGGTTGCAATCAAGCTGGGGACAAGAAAGACAGTAATGTAGGTGCCTCAGATCCCTGCTTAGGAAGAGCAGGCGGCTCACCTTGCCCTCAGGCTTGGCTCCACGCCGCAGCCTGCCCACAATCAACAAAAAAGCACTGAAGATGGCCGAATCTGACAGCTTGTCTCCAAAGCAATCAAAATTATCAAGCATCTTTCCGAGGCCTCGCTCTGTGAGGGGCAGCTGGGACACACAGTAGGCCAGGTCCCGGTACTGCCGCTCGGTTCTGCACATGAAAAGGGCTTTGTGAGGAGCAGGGATACCCAGGGAGTAAAGGCTCACCCTTCTTCCTTAGTCTCCCACAGTCCCAGGGATGCCACTGGGCCAGGGAAGTCTCTTTCTCCTGCAGGGCTCCTGGCAGCACAAAGAACTTGAGTGGGCAACATACCGGGCTGTGCGGAAGCGCTGACACAGCTTCTCCACCAGGCTCTCAGTCTGCTTGTCCTTGGTAATGTAGGAGAGGATCTGCCTGCACAGGAAAGAGGAGAAAGTGTGATCGTCCAAGGGCAGCCCATCCTCATCCACTCAGGCCGACCTGTTCAGACCGGCCTCACCGAGCACCACTTAGTTCAAGAATCTTCTCTGCCATGGCCCTGCCTGCATCCCTGCTCTCCTTACCCTCTCCCACACCCCAGAGAAGGTTCCACGCTCCTCCCCACCCCGGAGCAATTTTCATCTCAAATGGAAATTAAGTAACAAAAACAGCTGCCATTTAGTGAACACTACTACGTGCCTGCCACAACTTTAGGAACTTTATCTTATTTAATCTTCTCAGGAAAACCAAGGGGCAGTTATTATTAGCCTCATTTTATACAGGAGTAAAGAAGCATAGGCGTTAAGTTATTGCTGAAGGCCATACAGCTAAAAAGTAGTAGAGCTAGAAGTAAAACACAGGTTTATCTAATTCCTAACCCTGTGCTTTCCCACTGTGCTACATGAAAAATGTGCCCCAAGGCCCAGGGAACTGTACTTCATGATGGTGTGGAAAGGCTCTTCCTCCACTCCACCCTCAGGGTCTGACAGGCGGCTGATGATATCTGGAAGGAGATTATAGATTGCATTGCCCTGGAAGAGACAGAATCTTGTTAGAGATGAGGTCACCTACATATTCCTTCTGCAGCAAGCCCTAAACTGCCTCCCTGCCTTTTCACCTTGTGAGAAAGCTCATTGAAGAAGTTCTTGGCCAGGGCTGCAATGGGAGGCTCAGGGTCAATGAGCAGCACCGCCATCTCGCTCACTTGCCCCTTCACTTTCACCATGTCCTTCAGGATCAAGTGGGTCATCACCTGCCCTGCTGTCTTACGCACTTGCTGAGCCGGGTCTCGAAGGCTAGGAAAAAAATTCCAAGTCATTGGGAACAACACTTGTAGGATACACCCTAACAGTTGGGAGGGAAGACCCACAGCAGGAATCTATTACCCTATAATGTACCATTCAAGAAACAGAAAGCTAGCTAGAGTTGAAAACTAGAGTTGGGGAAAGAGGCAAAACTTACAGCCAAGACTTTAGACAAGGGGTTACTCCATTTAGGGTCATAGTCAGCCAGAGACCTGTACAGGTCAAGTATCAAGCAGATGTTTAAGGTAACACCAAAGACTAGGGGAATAGTGTTAGTAATTCTCATACTGATTTAACTATGGACTCTCAGAGCTCTCAGGGGTCTCTTACCGAGCATACAGATGAGGTGTCCAGGGGTCCACCAGGTTGGGGAAGCGGATGGCCAGATCCCCAGTGGCAACCATGAGGTTAGACCGGACAATGGGAAGTGGGGACTTTTTAAGCATGGTGAACAGAAGACGAAGCTGGGAGTCACAGAAAGTGGCACTAGGGGCAAGGAGAGGATCATCAGGAAAACCATATCACCTCTGTCCTCCTTGAGAAGGCAATGCCAAACCCAGGGCCTACCTGATCATGCAGAACTTGCCAAGGGCAAGTGAAGCAGCTGCAGAAAGATCTGGGTTGCTATAGAGACCAGGGTTATTGCAGACTTTAAGCAGAAGTGGAACAAAGGCAGCCAGGACCTGTTTGCCTGTTGGAATAACAGCTCTGGGTTTACCTCAGGTTATCTCAGTTGGGGAGAAGGTCACTCAGCAATTATTCTTACCATCCAACAGTTCCACCTCGCAGATGCTACGGATTAGTTCTGCCTCCGTGTCGTCTGCAGTAGCCCCAACCAGCCCCAGCTCCTCCTCAATGGTGGTGTCAGAGTTTGTATTCTAACGGGAAAGAAGCAGGGAACCATGGGTAAGCAAAGACAGCATTTCTGAATCCAGCCAGTACTTCATTTTGCCCAACATGAATGGATCTGGCTAAAGGCAAATTCTGCAAAACCATTCATAGAATTGCCAAATGTGTCTATAAAGAGAAAAGACTCCTGAGTAAAATAGGAAGAGAACTAGGTCCCCTACATTTGTTTTTAAGTTGTCAAAACATGTTTCTACATTTCTTACTGAACTTTTTCTCATAGAAGATATATAACCTCCGGTATGGAGTAAACAGACAAGATTATGCCAGATAATGGTTCAAGGTCACAGAAAAGGTCAGACATCCCATTCTGCAAGGTTCTGTGCCTTATTTGTCTGCAAGACATCACTGCCTGTAGTGGAGAGCATACAAGGTTCTCATCAGGTGCCAGGCCCAGTAACCAAGGCTGGCAGGAAAGAGGGGTTGGTGTGTGCATTTTTTAATAAACACTGCCTGGGATAGAGCCTCCACTTTATGCTGAGGTTTCTAACTTGATACTCTGTATTTACCTAAAACTTTCCCTCCTGGGTGAATATGGATAGACTGTTCTATCTTTGTTGGCACCAATCTTTCCCCAGATAGTAGCAGCAAGGAGGCAGAGATTCTTCACTCCATTTAACAGAGAAGCTGAGATCCCCAGAAGGAAACGTGAATGCCCCGAGATAAATCTGGGAAATACTTGGAACATGGATCCAAACGTCCAGGTGCTTGCTTCACTCACCTTCTCCTTTGGACCTTTAGTCTTGTGCTCCTGTTCTTCCCGAAGAACTCGGCGCCGATACAGCTCTCCACTCACCGCCTGCTCCAAATGGACCAGCTGCTGCAGAGCCACATCCCCAGCCAAGGACAGCAGGTTCATCAGCAGGTAAGTGGGGAGCATAGGGGTCTCCTCTAGAGGAGGTGGAGAGGGAAGACAGGGAGAAAAAGACATGAGTAAATCTTGCAGGCCCCTGAATCCTGTTTTTACTGATCCTCCCCTTGCTCGTGTGCCACTGAAACTAGTGTGGAAGCAAAAGATGGGGGTGGGGAGTAGGGAGATGGGGGTGGTAACTAACGCAATTTCAGTGACAAAAATGGAAGTCCTTTCTGCTCTTCCTTCTTGGCAAATGAGATAGTGTGGGCTGAGGGAGAAAGGGGCTGCTGTAGAAAGTGGTGGTGGCAGTGTGGCTTCCTACACAGCAGGAAGTGATGAAACTGGCTGCCTCCCGCTGGGCCCATTACCCCTCTTGCCGCACTTACTCAGGTCCTCCTGGGAGGGGCTCTTCTCCAGCTTCTCCAGGGCCTGCTTTGCACAGTCCTGTAATATCTGGGCACAGATCACGTCAGGACCCTCTGCTAGATGGTAAATGAGGGTCACTGCCACCTCTTTGAATGGGATCCAGAGTGGGTCTGGGTGGACAAAGCCTGTACAGGAGAAGGGAGAAGTTGTCCACTGCAGAGAAAGGACCTGGTTCTGCCCAAGGCCTTTCTTGATAGCTCACCTTTTGTGACCATCTCCCGCAGTCGATTAAACAACTTGTGCTCCTGAGGCAGCCGGAAGGGAGGGTGACGTTTCCCCAGAGAGGGCTGGAGAAAATAAGAAAGTAAGACAGGATATGGGTGGGGGCAGAGGGTGGATAAAAGGATCTCTATTCTCCTTAGTTTGGACATAACCACCCACATACCTTTCTCCTGTCGGAGATGTTGGCAATGGCATGGCATACCTGTTGGGCCAGCCGATAATCCTGTGGAAACTTCTCATCCAGCCCTATGCTTACCAGTGTGTCTAAGTTGCTTCCCACAATTTCTGGTTTTCCTCTAGAAGAAAGAGGACATAGAGTTAAAGCCAGCCATGGAACCAATAGACAGTACTCTGAGTGGGGGACAACGCTAATGTGGGTAGGCACCAGCATCCAATGCAGGGCTTCTAGAGCCTCACAACACTACACTGAGGCTCTGACACAGGGCCAGCCCCTCTGAATCCCTCCAGCTCTACTGACTCTTGCTATTTCTATTTGGCGGGGACTGGTACTTTTCACTATTTTATTTTCCTTTTAGGTAGCCAACTCACATACAGCTCAGCTGGCCTGACTGCTATTACTGAAGGAAAAGGAACCTTCCCAGACCTTCCTTTCCTCTCCTATCTTACTGCCTGCCTGGATCTGAGCCTTACCGTGCCATCATCCCCAGAAGCATGACAGAGGAACAGCGCTCCAGAGGAGAGCGGGGGATCTTCTCGGTTGCCTGCTCCCATAGCAGCTGGGTCACTGCTGGTTTCAACTCATCCTTCTGCACAAATTCACAGAGCTGACGAGAAAAGAAAAAGAGCTCAGGCCAATTTTAATTTCAAAAACAATAATTCCCCCTATACTTGGCCCATGTGTCTGGAGAGAATTTTGAGAACCTAAACTGAGTGAAAGCAATACTTAGGAAAAGAAAAAGGAGAAATGAGGCTCAAAATGTAAAGTGAGGGCTTGGGGAGGTACTTTTCTCTCCATTATCTACTACTTTTCTACTTTCATGCCTTCAAAACTACTTCTATGAAGATGACACAGTGAGACTGATCTTTTTGAGTTCCATCTGGAGCTATTGTTCTGACTACATCCTAGATATTCCTAGATTTTCTTGCTGTCAGCACAACTCAAATGTCTAAAATAGAAGCTATCATCCTTCCTTGTCTCTTCATTTTGCCAATGGTACCATCTTAAGTCACATATGCTTAAAACTTCAGTCACCTAATTTTTTATGAACCAGTCACTTAATCCTGCCTATTCTTCCTTCAAAATTTGTCTTCCATCAAATCCAGTTCTACAGCTATCCCCCAGCCCCGAGTCTAGCCCCTTGTCATTGCACACCTACAAGCATCTTGCAGTGACCTTCCTATCCCTAACCTCTTGTCTCCAGTGCTACTGCTGGATCAATCTCCCCAAGGATCTATTTTATCAGGTCAGACCCCTGCTGGTCATTTTGAAATCCCTCTCCTTTGTCCATTGTAGGGACTCCTGACCAGTAGACAGTCTATGAGATCTCAGGCTGGTTGTCACCACCAGGCCCTTTTCTTTTCCCCAGTGAAGAGGAAAATGTGGCTGGCAGTAGTGCTCCTCCCAGTGGAAGCTGGTGGCTAGCACTGTCTCCATCTTTCGTCCCCATAATCCAAATGCTTCAAAACAGATTCATCTCACTACAATGCTGGGGTCCCCGGCTAATAAGGTTAAAGTTCTATACTCTTGAAGGCATTTAGGGACCTTTACAGTTTAGTTCTAACCTACATCCCCAACTCTGTTATCATTTCCAGATAACGATCTTGAGCCAGAACACAATTTTCCGCATTCCCCAATGTGGGCCATGCTCTTTCTCCGCTTTCTGCCAGAAATGCTCTTCCTTCTTTCTTTAACTCTCCAAATCCTACTTGCCCTTCAAGACCTAATTCAAGTCTAAACGCCTTCAGGAAGTTTTCCTTGGCCATTCTACCTCACTGCTTTCTTCCCTTCTCTGTACTCCTTAGTATACATAGAAATGGAATGTTTTCTGGAGCATTTATTCCTTGAGTTTGAACCTCAACTTTGCCACTAACTAGTTGTAACAAGCAAGTTTCTTAACTTCTCTGTGCCTCAGCTTTCTCACTGTAAAATGGAAATAATACCATTTCCTAGGGTTGTTGTGAGGACTAAACAATTTAACATTAGTACAGTGCTAAGAATAGTACCTGGCATATGTTAAATGCCACGTAAGTTCTGCCATTATTGTCTTACTAATGCTACTACAAGCATTACCTGTGCCACTTATCTTGGCACTGAACTATATATCTGCTGCATTGTCCTATAAATGTTTTGTGTTTTTTAACTACTAACTAGACTGTTGGTTCCTTTAAGGTTGGGAACTTGAAAGCAAATAGTCTTATACTTCTTCACGAGGCTGAGTAAATTGCTGAACACACAGTAATCACTAATACTCATTGAATGAATTAAGAAAGGGGAAGTGAGGAGACTTACAATTTCCTCAAGACATTGAATGGTCCCAACTGAGGCATCCACTAGCAACAAAGAGAGATTCTGGATCAAAGCCTGGGCCTTGGCTCTGTGGGAATAGCAGAGGTCGGGAACATGAACACTTTCCCCAGCTCTCCCACCTTTCACAGCATTCCAGGAAGCTAGAGACGGACTGATAAAGACTACAAGTTGAATGTGGCAAACAGGTAACTAGGCAATCCCATCACAGTGTCAAATAACAGCATAGGATGGGCATCCCTGGAAGTTCAGCCCTACTCTAAGCCCCATTACAGACCTACTGCCTATGGATTCTTAACTTCTCTAGAAGGATGCCTGCCCTCCTTCAGAAGACTAGAAATAGAAAAGTCCTGTGAGAAACTGACCTCAAAAAAGTCAGCAAAGGCAAAAGTACCCCATATACCTGGCAGAGTCCCCTTTGGGGTTGAGGTAAAGTTGGCGGTAGGCATTAAGCACAGCTTCCCGGACACCAGGCTCCTTAGACCAGATGAGAGGCAGCATGCGGCGTACCCCAAACAGGGCCTGGGGTACCCCAAACTGAGACACCATCACAAAGAACTCAATCACCTCCTGCACCACTGAGAGGACAGACACAAACGTCACCCATTTGCTCAGTACAACTCCCCCAATACTTAAAAACAGAACTTTACTTAATGTGGCAACATTCAAGTGGAGTCTTCCCTCATTTTCCCTAAAAATGCTGACTCTTCCTATACGTCCTTATCATAAAATACTGTATGTATTAAAACATAAGCGCCATGGGGTTATACAAAGCAAACAAAAAGAAAGAATTCCTGCCTTTTTAAGAAGAGAAATATCAATAAAATCTGGATGAGGCTGGTTTTACCAACCCCAAGACCCACTCCTTATAGAAAGGGACCAGGCATACCTGTAGTTGTGCTTTCATACATCATTGTGCTGATGATGCCAATGGCCTCTGTAATCTTCAGAGAGAAGTTGTAGGCGTCCTGCAGATACTGCACTAGCATCTCTTGCTTCACCAGTTCATCATTTTCCCTGGATTTCTCAGGCTCTAACATATTGGGCGTGTCCTTACAGACACTCTGTTCTGGGCCCATGCTCCCTGCAGACCCCTGGGGATTCTTCTCCTGTGTGGAAACTGTTGTGCCTAGGAGTTAGAGAATTACAGGATGGTTTTTGTTCACGGATATATGGGGGCATACAACAACTATAAACACCTTTGGGTATTTCCTTCCACAATAGGAAGGTATGGAGTTAGAACCTATTTTAAAATATCTTGGTCCATTCCTCAAAAGATTCCTAGATTTTGGAGACTTCCAGGCAACATGGAACCATAGTCAGAAGCACCACGCCGTCCCTCAGCAGCAAAGATCCGAAAAACTAAGTTAAACAGAGTCACACATCAATCCTGAAACCCTAAGCATCAAATGAAGAGATAAAGAACTCAGCCAAGCACTGAATGGAATAAGAAACTGACTGAGAACAGAGAGCGAGGAGAGATACATGTAGAGGTCCCCTATCAGCTACCGCAGCACGGATCCACCATCTTGGACTCCTATCGGAGATCAGTGAACAGGGTTTCAGGAGGGCAGTTCACGGAGCTTCCAGCAAGAGACAGAACAACCGGTAATCAGTGATATAGGCTTTCCGACCCCCACCCTTCTTCACCCACACTCGGCCTCCTCTGCTTCCTGAAGCCACAGTCTCTGGGCAGGGAAGCACCCCGGGAGTTGCTTGGATTTCACCCGCCTGCAATGGCCGACTCCCTGAGTGCCTTTTGCTGGCTGCTAGTGTTGCTTTTTTCTGCTTATTTAGTTTCTTCCTTACCTCTCACCATCTCCCCCTCCTTTCCCTCAAATACCTGGCTCCATGTGCCATCTCTGCCTCTTCCGGAAAGGCTGCAAAACACCGCTTGACTGTGAAACTGCTTCCTGGCCTGTGCCGCCACGCTGGTGGGACCCCCGGGGCTTTTTTGTTTGTTTCTTTGTTTGCTCTCATTTGTTCTGTTTTGATTTGTTTGTTTGTTTTCTTTTTCTTTTCTCGGCTTGGGAGCCCCTTCTAGCCGGGCAGTACCGTGTGGCTTGGAAGCTACTCCCTTACTCTGTGCAGACGCACAGGGACATCCCTGGGGGCATTTCTTTTCTCTTGTTTTTTGGTGTTTTTTTTTGTTTCTTTGTTTTGTTTTCTTCTCTCTCTTATTCCCTTTTTGTCTTTCTTCATTTCCAGTTTCTCAATTTATTCATTTTTTCTTTCACTCTTTTTCTTTATTTTTCATTTTTGTTTTTCCTCATTTCTCAGACTCTCATCTCTCCACAACAATAGCAAGCTCCCTTAGCACTCTTTTTTGTTTGCGTGTATGTTTTTGGCCTCTGTTCCTCTCTCCTCTCTCTCATCTTTCCCATATCCAACTTAGCTCCACACATCACAATCTACCCCTCCTTCCTGCCTACCTGCACCATGTGCTGAACATCACACTCCCAAGCAACATAGGCACGGCCTACTGGAACCTGCCCTGCACTGATTCCCGGTCAGCACTGTCAGCCCTGGTAC